TATGAGATCCTGGGTTCCTTCCATCCCCAGAACTGGAAAAAAAAAATGATAATACTAAATGTTGGTGAGAATGTGATCAGATAGGCATTTCCATACTCAAGAGTTGGGCATGTAATTTAAAAAAAAATTTTTTTGTGTAGCTGTAGATGGACAGAATGCCTTTATTTTATTTGTTTATTGTTATGTGGTGCTGAGGATAAACCCAGTGCCTCAGGCATGCTAGGCAAGCGGTCTGCCACTGAACCACAGCCATAGCCCCTGGGCATGTAATTTGATAAAGTTAGCAATAAAGAACTGAAGACTTAAAAACATCTCTAATCCAATTGTGTTACTTTTAGAATCTATCTTGGGTTTATCCTAAGGAAATAGAGATAGGAAAAGTATTTTTATATGAGGATGATTATGGTAGTGTTTATGATAGTGAAGGCTGGAATCAGCAATAAGAAAGTTAAATCATGATGTATTAAAATCCAAAATTACTAAAGCTATATCTGTTAAAACTCCATTATTGAGACATTATTCAATGATAAAATTAGCAAATGTAAAGGACACAAAATAATATTTTAAAAATTATCTCAACTTGGACAGGGGACATAGCTTAGTAAAAGAGCACTTGCTTAACAGGCATGAGCCCCTGAGTTCCATCCCCAGTATCACACACACAAAAAAAACCCTCTATAAATATCCCCATGTATGTACTTTATCTGTCTTATGTATATGCGTATAAGTGCCTGTGGGTAGTTGATAATGATACTCTTTATTTTACTATTTAAGCCTTTCTGTATTTTCCAGAACTTCCACGACCAGCATTCAAGGTTTTTAAATATTTTACTTACAAAATACAGATTGATATGATGTGACTTGGGACTTCCATGTGACTTTGGGACTACTCATATTGATTAATTTCTTTCAAAAAGGAATAATTATTTAATTGCATGTCTTGAATTTATATGAGCTGAACAGTGTTGTGGCTGTTCACCACATGGAGACATTATGTCATTATGTGACCTGGGCCCTATGCTGAAAGGCCACCCATTATGTGAAGAGGGTACTGAACTAGGGGCCTGGGGCCACTTGACCTTGGCAAAGCCCTTAGTAGTGGCCTCCTGTCAAATAGATACCAACACTGGCTCTGCCACTTTCAGAATTGTTCCAAAGCCCAAGTGAGATCATCCAGGGAGGAGGCTATGAAATGTAGGCTATTGGGTGGCACTAACCATCATTTAAAGATGAGCTAGTGCCAGCCTGGCATCGACAGTTGATATATACGGTCTTTCTAAATTTCCCTCCTGATGAGGAAACATACATGGCTGCAGAACACAAAAATCCTCCCCAATTCTCCCACGGCCCCTTTTCTTTACTGAATTTAAAAGTGCATAGCCCTTGCCGGAAGATTCAGATAGGTCACAGCACATCCCTGTCTACCTCCACCCTAGGGGGAAATGCCTGGCTTCTTCCCAGAGGAGGAAGTGACAGAGACTTGACATGTTCCCATGGGACCAAGGCAGAGGACAAATTCTACTTGATCTCTGCATAAACATGGGAGGTCTCTTGATAAATCTATTGGGTCCAGATCTCTGATCTCTGCTTAGGGAACAAGGTCATTCAGAGTATGCATTGGTCCCTACAAGCCCCTCTGTGACTCTGCTGTTGTGAACATAGTTAATCCATCAGACCTGCGTTATTGCAGACTCTTGCTCTGTGTGGTTAGGGAATAAGAAAACCCGCAGCATCTCCATGTCCCACAGCAACGGCTGCAGTCAGACTGCTGCAAGGAGCCTACCTCCTCTGCCACCACAGGCAAAGCGGGGGAGGTATTTAAGTGACCTGGAAAGCTTACCATATGCACCCTGGCTGTATATGTCACCTGGGGAGCTTTTAAATAGCCTGGGCCACACTCCAGGTGCAGAATTTAACCAGAGTCCTTGCAACTGGGAATCAGGTGTCCAGTATTTTTAAAGCTCTCCAGGTGATTTCAAGTGCAACAGAGAACAAGAAACTCTGGCTTAGGATCTGATCCAGTTCTAGGCATCTCCCTGCCACCAACACATTTCCCTTTGTGAGGTCTCCTCCACATCTGATCACTTTGAAGTGTTCCTGGACCGCACCTCTTCCCTGCTGTGGATCCAACTGAGCCCTAAGGCATCCTTTCTCCTCCAGCTTCTCTGCAGGTTGGCTCCATTTTTAGCTTGCTATTCCACATCTCCAAGAAAGGTACCATCTTAGCTCAACTCACTGCGGGCCATGAGATACCGCCTGACCTAGGGATTGGCTACTCAGGTGGAAGAGCTGAGCTCTCTTGCCCTATTGATCCATTGGAAGGGATGGGGGTTGTATCATAAAGAATACAGCCACCTGGGTCTGCCCCAGGTCTGCTGTATGTGAATGTGGGGTGGGACTGGGATAGGTACTAGGTGGGACTCAATAGGAACTACAATGCTTGAACATAGCTGTCTCAATTACAAATCATAATCAAACATATTTCCTGGAATCCATTAAAAAATTAAGGATTAGCATTTTATCCTCTTTATAGAACATGACATTATGAGTCTTTTCAAGTATGTGTAGGATAATAAAATGGATAGCTTACTCAATTATATTTGGAATGCCTATATAATTTTACACATCCTTATCCATAGAAACTACCATTGAATTTAGAATTAAAGAACTATGATTCTCATCTTAGCAGAGGGATTGTTTTTAGCTTTTACAAGGAATTTTTTTAATTAAAGTATAATCTGCATAAAGAAAAGCATATATATATATATCACAAGTGTACTTCTCAATGATTTGTAACCAGTACCCAGATCAAGAAACATTATCATTATCCCAAAGACACCAATGATGATCTTCCAGTTACAACTGGCCTCCAAGTTTAATCACTGTCTTGACTTCTACCAGCATAATTTAATTTTTTAGTTTTTGTTCTATATGTAATTGCAATCATGAACAATGAACTTCGTTGTCTTCTGGCTTCTTTCCTTTTTTTTTTAGCAAAAAGTTGTAGTTTAAGCCAGAGGTTTTAGTTTGAAATCTAGATCAACAAACATTTTTTCAACCAGGAACTGTGCTCCGAGCTAGGGACACAAAAATAAATAAGGGTAAGTCCCCGCTCTAAAGAACATTCAATCTAGTAATCTAGTAATGATCGGAATTTAATGTAAAGTGAAATCCTCTTTGTTCCACAAATATTTGTTCAGTATCTGCCATGGGCAGGCACTATCACAGGTGCCAGGGACAAGCAGTGAACAAGCAGACAAAAATTCTAGTGGAAATCCTCTCTTTTATTTCACTGACATGTGTGGGCAAGTTATGCCCACTAACATCCTTTCCCACTGTCTTTCACCCAATTTAACATAAGGGGAAAGGAGCGATGAAAGTTGTTTATTCTGGCAACTTGGGGCAGGCGATGATGAAATCTTTGGTCAACCATACGGCCGGCCCTTTGCAAACCCCTGAGTGTGGAAGGCACTTCCCTAGACCTCCTTCTGCTTTGTTCCATTGTCCACATCTCTGGTGCTGTTTATATGGGACACAACAAAGACCTGGAGGCTGTGAAAGCCTTGAGATGTTAGCTCACTTTGGAGCAAGGCTGAACATCAGTCATGTTGTTTTTCAGAACCATAAATTGAGAAGAGACAATTACCAAAGTAGTGATGGGTACTAAACCTTCAGATTTGTTTGATAACTGTAGGCTGCAATATACATCCAATTGATTCATATTTACTTTTCAGAACCTAGCAAATTATTTGAGCATAAAAGTTGTGACATCAGAAGAAGGGATTAGAAGAGAATCCAACACCACCCCAGGATTGACAGTTTAGGAAGAAATGCAAGTGAGCATTTCATTTTGTTTCCCATCTTTATGGAAAATTTCAAGTTCATATAGAAGCAGAGGGAGCAGTAAATGCCATGGACCACCTTTCAGCTTCAAAAATGATAAACATGTGCCCAGTTCATTTCTAACTTCCTGCTGTCCTTTTCCTCTGATTATTTTGAAGCAATGCTAGATGCTTAGATAATTTAATGCCTAGATAAATTACTCATGAATGTTCAGAAAGTGAGCTCTCTTAATTCGAACCCCTTTGGTTAACAAACTCAGAGTTGAAGTCACTTAATGAATTAGTGACACTTATTTTTAATCCCTAAATATCCAAAAGTAAATATCACCAGGTTTACTAACAGCGTAATGATTATACATTGTATTATTGTTATGTTGTGCAATGCACAATCCTATTATTTGGCCAAAACATACCTCTTAAAAGCCCTTTGTTCAGAAAACTGAAAGCAAACTTTCCAAAAAAGTTCTTCAGGGGTGGGGTCAGTGGACTGAAGTCCTTCTTCATCAGTGATTTCCAAACCAGATCCCCATGGATTTTAAAATTGCAAATAAATTCATTCAAGTGAAATTGTTTCTTCCAACTATTTAATCACAAAATGGTCTAACTTTTCTAAGGCTCCCTTCTCCCACTTTCAGCCTGTCCTATTTTCAAATAAGGCTGTTCATCAATTCAGTGTCAGTGGCCTGGCTGCCATGAGATATCACAGCATCGCTGAGTATAGACATTAATTTTTCTAAGTTTCCTATGATTAAAACACCAAACCACCATTGTTTTGAGCCATCAGAGAGTTCCAAAGGTTTACAGAGCAAGTGCAAAAGATTTTCAGTGTCTTTGTGATGGAAATGTGCAAAATGTTGACTTGGCTGCATCTGTTGTCATACCTGCTCTGCTTGTATCTCAATATGTTACCCAGGGCAAGTGACAGTCGTCGTTGTGAGGAGTGGGACACAAAGCACCCCTTCCATGAGCATTTGATGAGGAGACAATTAAGAGTAAGAAAAGCTGTGAAGGTTATCCGCATAAATAAAACTGTAGAAGACAAACATCTAGATGTTTCTCTGTGTACAAACACCACTCATTTCTCTCTGGGAGATAAAAGCAGCAAAGATTGACAATCTGTCAGTTAAACTCTTTTCATTGTGTGCTTTTTCTGGGCAGGCTATTCACATCGAACTCCTTTGATGTGATCAGTGATGATGCTTTTATTGGTCTTCCACATCTAGAGTATTTGTAAGTAAAAAAAAAAAAAATGTTCTCTCACATGATGATGCAGGACAAGAACTCTCAAGTTCCCGTAGCTATCTGACCAAAAATTTTGTAACCTATTGCAGATTCATAGAAAACAACAACATCAAGTCTATTTCAAGACATACCTTCCGGGGACTAAAATCTTTAATTCACCTGTAAGTATGAATGTTGCTGTTACTTTTTAAGCTTGCTGATGGACATTGCAGTCAATCCCTTGTGGTTAAAGCACCCACTTTATGAGCGTCCATGAAAATTTAAGAACCCAAATGATCTCCCTCTATGCACACTTGCCATCTCTCTGTCATCTGTCAGCAAGTGTTCAGGAAATTGATTACTGTTAATATTTCTAGCCTAAATCGACCATAATTAGAAAAGTGGTCTAATGCAGAGAAATTACATGACTAAAATAACTTTATTATTATCTACATCATTACTCACTTCATGAATAATTATGGGTTGACTATGTACTTTAATTTGATATTGGCTATTTTTCTTTTTCTGCATAAGCTCTGACTTTATATTCATTTAAACCTAATATAGCCATAGGCAATGTCTACAGAGTACCTGAGCAACTTGTTTACATATGAAGTAGTTATTCCATAGGTCTAGAGCAGTCATTCTTAATAGGGAGCAATTTTTTCTTCCAGGGAACATTTAGCAACATCTAGAGATATGCTTGCTGGTCACGAGTAGGGGATGTAATTGAAATCTGATGGATAGAGGGCAGGGTTGGTCCTAAACAATCTACAGTGCAAAGGACAGTCCCCCGAGCCAAGAATTATTGGCCTAAAATGACAGAGTGGGGAGGTTGTGAAACACTGAACAACAAATTATACAACTTGTTTCTTCTAGCTTCTTCCATCTTCTACACTTGTGCACTTCTACACATGTGCGCACACATACACGCACACACGCACACGGACACACACAGACATATTTTTAAGGAAACTAGTAGAGCATAGGAGGAAAAGGCATTAACATTTATTGTGTCAGTTAATATGCTTTACAACATTTTTCACTGAGCCCGGTCGATAATCCTGCCAAATAAGCATAATAATCTCCATTTAGAGATGAAGGAACTGAGTCTTGAAGGGTGTATATGACTAGTGGACGGTTTAGTTGTACAGTTATAAGAACATTAACTCAACAGTTGAATTGCCCTGGCTATTCATCCCTTCCATGACTGATTCTCAAGTCATTCCAGTATGTGTCTTATCAGTTTTAGGTAAAGATGCAAGAGATACATGTGTAAATGTCATCCTGTCATCCTTAACCTGTTCCCTCATAGCACCTCAATTCCACTTCTGTTCTAGGCCCTGGGGGTAGCAAGAACAAAGCAGATAAAAATGCCTGCTCTTTGCCTCTGCTTTCTAGTTTGTCTGTGTGGTCTTCTTGGTACCAGGAGCCATTCTTTCCTGCAGTTTGGTTTGCAGCAAGAGAGTATTGATGGCCAGATTTTGTTAGTTTTTTGTTTATTGGTACCTAGAATTGAACTCAAGGGCACTCTGCCTCTGAGCTCCATCCCTGGCCCTTATTATTTTTTTTGTTTTGAGACAGGGTCTTGTTCAGTTACCAAGGCAGGTCTCAAACTCATGATCCTACAGCCTCGGTCTCCTGAGGAGCTGGAATTACAGGCGTGCGCCACTGTGCCCAGCCAGATTTATTTTATAAAATCATGTCCATATATAGTGATAACAATAAAAACAGCCTCTGTAATGCTGCTGTTCATGTCAATGATACGATGCAAAAATGGCTGGGAAACAGAATGAATGTTATGCAATTGTATCAGAGTTCAACTTTTCCAAACTTCATTTTCAGACAAAAATAAATAAAAAACAAATTTGTGGAAGGAGAAATGGAAATTCATGACTTCAAATTGAGATCCACTTGATTCACATAAATACTATTCAACACAGCCCATGCCCATGGTCAACATGGGAGTAGGGGCGCTGCAGGAGAGAAATAAACCCAGTGACCTCTCTAGCAACCTGAGATGAGTTTGCCCAGGTGCATCTCCTCTTCAGCCTAAAGACCTAGACCTTCACTTGGAACAGAGAAAATATTCTCCCTCCCTCACCAAGAAGGAAAGAAGAGGAGGGAAGAAGGAGAAAAGTCTGTATAACACCATATTGGATACACATTTTGCTTGACCGGAAGCTATTGTATCTATCAGACGAGGTGAAAATTTATATTTGGGTGATGATCAAAACGCTTTTATGATGGTATAGAAACTATAAGGGAAATTGGCTGGGCATAGTGGCTCATGCCTGTAATCCCAGCTACTCTGTACACTGAGGCAGGAGGATCACAAGTTCAAGGCCAGCCTGGGCGACTTATTGAGACCCTGTCTCAAAATAAAAAATAAAAAGGGGATATAATTTAGTACCACTAAGCAGCTAAGTTAGTGAGGATTGAACCTAATACCCCTGGATTCAACCCCCAGTACCAAAAAAAAAAGAAAAAAAGAGCAGTGAATTTACTATCTAGGAACTTTTAAGCTCAAGGGAACACCAAGGGGGCAGCCTCCCAAGAAAGGCGCATGAATCTCAAGGGTCATGTGAATACAAGTGAAATGGAAGTCTTGATCTAAGCTAGTGCTGCAGGTGGGAAGGAGGTGTGGTAACAGGTTAGGGGGGAATGCTTGACTGAACCAGGATGACCCTCAGGTCTTTATCTAACATGTAGGAGGTTGACTCATGCCATTTCCAGTATTACACTGTCAGGATCTAGAAGAATAGAGTGCCATATGGTTAGTTCTAAACAGTTTTTAGGATGTGACTTATACTTTACAAGAGGTATGAGCCACAAAGAAAAACAAGATCCAGTCCCACCCTAGAGGAGCTCATTCTAGCAAGAGAAATTAGACAAAACAAATATTTTCTCAACAAATGCCTTTGTCTCCAAGCTTTCTTCTTCTTATTATTATTATATTGTTCTTCAAGGTATATTTTCTTCCTTCCTTTCTTCCTTTTAAGGAGAGATGAGTAGGTAGCATTTGAATTCCAAATGTCCCTCTGCCTGCAAGTTCACTTTCCACTATTTAACTGCTTATAAATAAATCTGGCTTGAGCCTTTAACTTCCTTTTTAAGATTTTAGGCCTCAAAAATACACTTTTCTCTACTTTTGGCCAAGTCTTCCCCACTGAAAGGCAAATATTCAAACAGCAAGGATTTAACACCTTGCCCTCCGACCTGAACCTGCTGCAAAGAGTTTGCAAAGCTATTTCATATTCTTGAATTGTTGCAGACTCCTGATAACCTAATGAGACAGTAACACTACCCTCCCCCAGTGAATGTGAACATGGGGGAATGTGTTCAGTTGAAGCTACTTCCCAGATAGGAGCACCAAAGCCAGAAATTTCCCAAGGTCTTCAGCAAGATATCTTGAGATATCTCTACCACTTCAGGTAGAGCAGTACCAGAAAGTTCTCATTGAACTCACTGGATCCTTCCATGGGGTATGATTTGAGGAATGAATATGACAGAAAAAAAATCAAACCTGAAGATAAGAGACCTGCCCTTGAGTTTTCTATAAAGTCCCTATAAAATGTATGAAATCCTAGGACCCTCTCTCAATTCCTTTATTGTGAATCACTGTCCTAATACCATGTTTGTGTATTAGTCAGTTTTTCATTACTATAGTGAATTACCTGAAGAAGGCTAACTTTGTAAGGAAAAGAGATTTGTTTAACTCAGTTTTGGAAGGTTCAACTGTGTGGTACTGGCATTGGCTTAGTTCTGGTGTTGGCCTTCTTGCTGGCAGAGTCCTGAGGTAGCACATGGCATCACATGGCAAGACACTGGGAGCATGCATGTCTGTGTCTGGTATCTGTCTCTCTTCCTATAAAGCCACCAGGAATCAATCATGGGGGCTTCACCCTAATGACCTCACCTAAAGGCCCTGTCTCCAAACACCATTGTCTGATTAAGTTTCCATCTTCTTAATACCAACAGTCTATGATTTTGAGAATTAAACTCCTTCATGAGTTCTGGGACAAACCATAGCAGCATATTTAATTTTAATGTTTTAATAGTTTAATGTTTGAATTAGTTTTTCTGATGACTATGTATTACATTTTTTTTATCAGGGAAAAAAATCAATAAAAACTAGTTTATGGCCAATGATGACAAAATCTCTAAACATTATTATTGATTTCCATTATACTTACCGAGCTTTTTCCCCTTGGGTACCACATAAGTGTCACTGTGACTAAGGCCCCGTGGAGCCAGGAGTGTTTGCATGAATGCATAATATTTGAGGGAAAATTGCCCTCAATCTTTCCATGTTGTGGGGTAGCAACTATTGCTCACCTCTGTGGTTGCAAAGACCATAGGTAACAGTCCCAAAACTCAGGAGGCCTGTGTATCCCCTGTTAGGTAGGCAGGATGTCTTCATTTTAGCTTTCACATTGACGTGCATGTATAAAGAGGTAGTGGCTGTCAGAGGATTCTCAGTCACCAGACTGCCTGGGTTCAAAGCCTAGGAGACCTTGCCCAGGTAATTTAGCCTTATTGTGCCTCAGATTGCTGATGTGTAAAAGGAAAGGTGATCATAATCTGTTAAAATGAAGGTGAGGGATAACAAGGTACACAGGAGCATCAGGCTCCTAGGGTTGTTTTGAGATTAAATGAGTTAATATCTACAAAATGCCTAGAGAAGAGCCTGGTGTGCAGTAAGCACCATTGTACAGGAAGAAACTCAAATTCACCATCTAACCTCTATTAGTCCTACATCAGGATTTCAAGTGCCGCAGTGTACTTATCCCCTTTAAACATTTCCTGTGAAGTTAAAATAACTGCACTTGAAGTGCTGCAGGTTCAGTGAGACACAAACCCAAGCTGAGAATCCGCATTGCAGGGGGGCTGGGAGCACCCCAGATGGCTGTGGGCGTTGCTTTCTTAGCAGCACAGCCCCATGGCACTGAAACAAACGTGCTGTCTGAGCCAGTGTGGTCTGCCTTGGAGAGAAGACTTTCCAGTAGGTTCCATAGTCATCATCAGAGGTTTTCTCAGGTAAACCAGCAAACACCAAAGTGGAATGGTGTTCTGCTTTGTCAGAACTGCTGGAAAGGAGTGGCTGGCTGGCTGCGTTGGAAAATGCTTGACTCCACTCCGGAGTTTCAAGGCAACTAGATATTCCATTGGGCGATACCCT